AAGGCGCTAACCAGAAACCAAAACCAGCCCTGCCCTTCCTTTCCAGAACATCACCGGGGCTGACTGACCTCAAAAAGGGGGCTACTCCTTCCCTTACACTCAGGGCAACTTCCGGCAACTAACCAAAGTCTCTCCCCAAGCCTCAGTTTATTTGTGAAATGGGGATAACTGTGAACTCAGTGGCGAGGTTCAATATGATAATTAAAGCACAGGTATTGATGGAGCTAGGGTAGGGCTCTCCCCCAAAAGCCACATCCCTGTCCATCTTGTCCCCGATCCCCACTCGCGGACTTGTCCCACCCAAGGCTACTTCGCCGGTTCAAAGAGGCAAGCCTGGGAGAACATTAGGTATCCCGTCGCTTCAGAAGACAGGGTGAGACGCGGCGGCCCCGTCTCACCCACCCAACCTCCAGCCAGCGCCCACACAGGTGGGCGGTCTTCCCAGGCCCGGGTCAGCGCGACCCACCTGAGCCAGGGGGTATCTCTCTCCAGCCCCGGGCAAGACCCCAGACCTAGGCCAGGCCCATCTCCGCTCCTCCCACGATCCGGAGCCCGGGACCCCCTACGGATCTCGCAGCTTGGGGTAAACAGGTCAGGTCTTCACCAAGGAGGCTGGAAAGGAGGTAGTAAAGGGCCACCCTGAATCGGTCCGTGACTAGTCCCGCAAAGGTGAGGAGAGGCTGCCCGGGACGGGGCGATCCCATGTCCTTGGGGTGGCCCGGGTTCCTGGCCCGCAAAGGTGAGAAGGAGGCTGGGGGAAGGTGAGACAGGTCGGCCGGGTCTTCCGGCCAAGACCTTCTCTAGCCTCCGGAAAGTGAGGAGGGAGCTGCCCAGGAGGGGAGCGGCTGGGCTCCGGCCGTCGCTCTCACCCTCGCCTGGGGCGCAGAAGGGCTGCCCCGGGGGGCGGGGGTCACTCACCGTCATGGCGGCGCCCCGAGGCGGCGGGAGCAGAAGACAGAAAGGTGGAGAGGGCTCTCGGTTCGGGCTCAGCGGCGCGGGAATCCCGCCACCGCCGCCCCTCTCGGCTGCCCGCCGCCGCTCCTCCGGCCCTTCCCTTCCCCGGCGTTGCCCCAGCCCCTTCCATCCGCCCATAAAACTTTTTTTTTTTTCAAACTTCCTGGGAGGACCCGGGGGGGCCAATGAGAGGCGGGAAAGCCAGGACAAACAGCGGCGGGGGCTGCGGGCTGGCCAATAGGAGCGCGGGACGGTTACGGGGGCGGGGCCTGTGGCGATGGGACGGGCGCGCGAGGGCGGGACGGGCGCCCGATGGAGGCGGGAGGAAGGGAGGGCGGGTCCGGCTTCGGCCGCTGGCGCGCAGGGCGGAAGGAACGGCTCCGTGTGCAGGTGACTCCGTCCGGCCACCGCGCCGGGGTGCGGGGTGTGGCCCCCATGTCGCCCCGGCCACGGCTCCCCGCCCCAGCCGTGAGCCGCTGGACGCAGCGATGGTTCCACTAGGGCTCGGTGCCTGGGTTTGATGGAGCCGTCGGCAAAGCACCCAGTACTGACAATTCAGGGTCCCATTTGCCGAGCGCTGCCTGTTAGCTGTGTAATAAACTTTCGTCCTCACCATAGACCTGACAGGAAGGTGTCCTTGTCCCCATTTTACTAATGAGAAAACAGAGACTCAGAGAGGTTAGCCGACTTGCTTAAGGTCACGCAGCAAGAAGAGAAGCCATTCCTAGTCTGTAATCTTCGCACAAAGTGAATTCTGGAATGGTGGGGTCTTCCCCAAATGCCCCCTCCTTACAAGCAGGTCTTTCTGGGATTAAGAACCCTGTTTTGGGTTGTTGGATGTGGGTGTACACTCGTTTCTCACAGTCCCAGAGCACTTGGCAGCTTTTAAGAGGCCTTTTGCCTGCAGGAGCTCCTCTGAGCCCTGCAGTCGTGGAGGGACCTTGGTGGCATTTGCTGCTAAATGCACTTAGTAGCTTGTGCAACATTGTGATTCCAACCCTGCAAGGTACTTAACTTCTCTGTGCCTCAGCTTCACCCTCTGTTAAATGGTATATAACATCACTGTCTCATGGGGTTGCTGTAAGTATTAAGTGTTAATCTAAGTAAAGCACCCAAACAACCTCTTTATCCCTAGTTAGCTATTCTTCAGTAGGAAGGCAGGGGAGCTTGGGATAATTGCCATTTCAGTTATTCTGCCATCTCAGTTTGGGGGTCAAAAATTATTGCTATCATGATTATAATTACCATCCCCATTTCACAGATAAAAAAATGGAGGCCCAGGGAGCTGAAGTTCTATCCCAGTATCTCCCACTGGGAGTCTTCCCTCCACCCTGAGGAACGAAGCCAAGGATAAGCCCACCTTGCTCTACACTGGTCTTCTGGCACCCCCATGCTGAGTTTTTCTACCCATGTACCTCACTCAGACATTTGGTCCTTTGGAGAGTGAACAAACAGTAGGCCTCACCTGCCACCAGTGTCTTGGCCCACTGACCTGGGCACCTAAGAGCCTGCTTACTGGTTTCCTGGCCTCTGGGACTCCAGTTCTAGTACCCTCAGCCCAGTGATCAGACTACTCCCCTGCTCAAAAGTCTTCAGCACTTCCCAGTGCTAATAGACCAGCTCTACGTTCTTGTTCCAGGCAGTCAGCACCCATCACAATCTGGCCCCTGCCTGCTGCCCTTTGTCATTTATACACACACATTTTACATGCTAGGGTACACAAGCGCTGGACTACTGGGAATTCCCAGAATGAGCCAGGTCCTTTGTGCCTCGGATGAGACTGCACGTGTTGTTCTCTGCCTTGTCTGGAACACTTCCCTTCCTGTCCTCTGTGCTTCCCCCCACCAACCTCCCCAGCACACACACACATACCTCCCTCTCTCTCCCCCCACTTCCAAATGTTTGTTTGCCTGAAAAATTCCTCCTCACCCTTCAAAGGAAATCAAAGTGCCCTCAGCACAGAGTTATAATCTCCTTGCCTGGTGCTCCCTGTGTTAACTCCCTGTGTGGTGCTCCCCGCATTAACTCCCCACCCGGTGCTCCCTGAATCTGTACATTCCCCCACTAACATAATGACCACAGTCTGTTCTAACCAGTTGTAGGTCAGTGTCCTCACCAAACTGTTGAGCTCCTTGTTGGCAGGGATGGGGTGTTTTTGTCTATATTTCAGAGGCCAGCCCAGGACTTCAACTCACAGTAGGTCTTTAGTAAACACTGGTCAACTGAATGAATGTACAAATGAAGGAATGACTCCCTTACCACAACTTGCCATGGTAGGACAGAGATGGCAGAGGCTCAGGGACCCAGGAGTGAGTAATCAAACAGAGCCACCAAACTTTGGGGTTATTGAGTCTCAAACCATTACTCTAACGAGAATAATAATGTGAGGCTCAGAGAAGGGAGACAATGGCCCTAAGCCACACAAGTTAATTCAGAGACACAACTCAAGCCCAGGCTTCCCGGCTCTTGACCTTGGACTAATTTCACTATCCTACTCAAGAGATGTTTGAAACTGCTCTAAGTAACTGTCTGGAGGCTCCACTGGCAGTTCCATCCCTCCGCTCCTGATTCTCCTTATTCCCAGAGAATGGCTGCAAACCTGCCAAGCCTCAGTTGCCACATCTGTCTAATGGGGAAAATCTGGGGAGACTTTGGGCTACAGAGAGGGCTCAGGGAGATCCACATACACAGAGGTGGAGAGGGGCCATGAGGTCAGCCAGAGTGGGATTTGAATCTCAGCTCTGCCCCTATGTGACCTAGAATCAGTGATTTTTCCTCTCTGAGCTTCATTTCCTCGTCTGTCACATGGACAATATGAACCATACCTGGTATGCTTCGTGGTGAGGATTAAAGCAATCACGCATACCATGCACTGAACACAGCTGAGCACATAGTAGGTACACAATAAATGCCGGTTATCAGCAGCAGCGTCATTATCCCAGAGGCCTTTCCCCATTTCTCTCCCTCTCTCTCCACCAGGAACTTAACCTGCCCCTTCCTGCCAGACCTGCTGCATGTTGGTGCCCTTTTGTTAGCCTGATAAGGTAATTCCTGGCCATGGCTTGAAGGCACCACCCTGCCCAGATAACCGTTTTTCTGATTACCCTCTTGTTTTAACCCCTGAACGCGGCAGAGACAAAATTATGAAGTGGATGGGAAAGTTAGTGTTTGGATGTGCCTGCCTCCCCTCCACGCCCCATCACACCTGTGTGCATCCAGATTTCCCTGGGCCCTCCTTGCAGCCCTGAGTGTCTCCATAGGCTTTTCCCCCCATTAGACAGATGTGGCAACTGAGGCTCAGTGAGTTTGGCTGCAGTCATTCTCTCATCCAGGAATGAGGAAAAGCAGCAAGAGGCTGGCCCCTCTAAACCCTAACCTTTCGACCTCAGGCAAGTCAACTCACCTCCCTGAGCCTTACTCCCATCAACTGTAAAATGGGTACGTGTCTCTAATGTACTTAGCCTAGTGCTGGACCTGGAGCCAGCAAGAGGATGACAGTCAGCCCCTCACGGAGAGCCAGCCAGTGGCTCCTGGAGATGGCCAGGCCCCTTCTATCCGGCTGTGAAGCGGGCAGGAGGGAGCAAGTCCCAGCTGCCTCTTCTCCTCACCCTTAAGGAAACCCCGAACCAGAGGCCTGAGTGTTTACAGCCCTCTCTGGGCAGGGGATGGGTTACGTAATGCCAGATGTTTGTGAAACTGGCTCAGGCCCAGGACTGAGCCACACTTTGCAACCCCAGAGCCCCTCACAGGCCCTACTTCCCCTGCTTCCCCCCCAACCTGGCTCCGCTTGGCCAGGCTGGGAGCTTTCAGCTGTGTAGATGATTTAATCACCCCTCACCCTGGAAGTGGGAAATCCCACTCACTTGCAGAGACCAGGGGGCACTCAGTACCCTGCTTCATCTCCTTTTTCATGTGGGGGTCCCCCAAACCCTCCCTCTCACACCCCTCTCTTCTTTGACTAACACCAACCTCCTCCCTCTCCTCCCCGTCTCTCCCCACCCTTGCCCCTCCCACCCCACTGGAGCCGGCCTACCCTTTGCCACCTGAGGACCCCCAGAGACAGCAGGAACGGATTGAACAGCGTGGGACGGTCCCCGGGCATCCGCCATGAGGTCACCAGTCGGCCCTTGAGCAGGCTCCCAGCCTTGCCCTCCGCTGGCCTCTTGTCTGCCTGTCAAACAGGGTCCAGTGTTGGCCCCCAGGTCCCTTTGGTGGGATTGGGGGAGTCTTTGACTACAACCTTTCTGCCCATTCTGCCATGCCCACCGCAAAGGCTCAGGGTTCCCATCTTTCTTCTCCTAGAGCTGCGGAGAATAGAGCTTGTTACCTTGTTCACACTACATGGTGTTTGCCTGACAGGGCTCGTGGAGCTCAGCCCCCATGGGGACGTGCACTCCACCACCCTCAAGTCGAGCCCCAGGTGGCCAGCGGAAGGGGAGTGCAGGCTACAAATGTGTGTTTGGCCTGCATAGGGTTTTCAGATTATTTTGCATTAGGTTCCAATGTTAAATAATCAAGAAATTTAACCTATATGTTTCCAGATTCTCTTGAAATATCTAGAGATATGGGAACTCTGGGTCCGTCTTCCCCATGACAACATCCATCTGGAGCCAAGGGGTCACACAAGGACCCCCCTGTCCCAAGTCCCCCACCTGCCTACTCTCCACCTTTGTGAAAGGAATGAGTCACAGACTCCTGCAGCCACTTCCCCCCACTCCCTGCAGAGCCCCCAAATGCGCCCCCTTTGGAGGAAACAGGCCCCAGCAAAGCAGAGGTATTTGCCCAAAATCACATAGCAGGTAGAGGTAGGACAGAGCACAGGTGTCCCAACTCTCTGAAATCCAGAGATTCACTGGAGGCGGAACATGAAACATCAAGGCCCAGGTCCAGGAGGGCTTTGGGGAAGGACTGCCCCACCCTGCCACCGCATCCCCCATCACAGCCCTGACCACTAAACTGGGCGCTCCATGCTGGCACTCCGATTCACCTCTGCCCACACCCGGGGATGCAGAAGGTGCTCACTAAGTGTTGTGAATGAATGATTGAATGAATGAATGAGGAAGTTATCAATTCTATCCAGTCCAGGCTGCCTGGTGGTAGATTGAGAGGTTTTCCATATTGCTGGGACGGGTCCATTTTGCAGAGACTAGAGGGGATCCCTATATTGCTATTTCCTCTTTGTTTATGAAACTCTGGTTCCAGGAAGCGTGAAGAAATAACCCAGAAAGAGGAAGGGTAAAGTTGCCAGGGCCCCTGTGAGAGCTGGAAGTGCCTTTAGTGATCAGTTCCTTGTCCCCCCCCCCCCCCATTTCACAGATGGGAAGACTGGCCCACCAAGCACTTGGAACACTGCTGCTGCTGCTGCTGCTGCTGCTGTGCGAGGCCATGCAAGGATCAGGGCAGGGCCAGGAAGCAGCGTTGGGGGAGCGGAGAGAGAGCTGGGTGGAGGTCCCAAGTCCCAGTTCTAGTTTGAGTCCAGCCATCGACTGGCTGTGTGACCTGGAACAACGCCCCTGCCCCTTGTTTACTCATCTGCACAGTGAGGGCAGAATCCCCTCAGCTCTGACGAGTGGAAGGGCCAGAGTCGGGGGCTCCAGGCTGCCAGAAAGATCTCCCCGTCACACCCAGCTTCTCAGGAGGCAGCATGGGGAACAGCAGAACAGCAGAATGAGGAAAGCATAGCCCCAAACAGCCTGTCTCCTTCTCCCTGCCTTCGGCTGCCCCAAGCCTTCAGCTCTGACCTCACCTCTCTGGAGGCTGAGGGTGATGAGAACAGTCTGTTTGGCAGGTCATGGGCTGGGGGGGGGGGGGGGCGGTGCGCAGAGCAATGCACTCCAGCTGCAGCCAGGCCTCAGAGCAGCCTCAGATGGTCCCACCCGCTGCACACATCTTTCCTGNGGGGGGGGGGCGGTGCGCAGAGCAATGCACTCCAGCTGCAGCCAGGCCTCAGAGCAGCCTCAGATGGTCCCACCCGCTGCACACATCTTTCCTGCCCCAGGACCCTGGAGACCCACCAGGCCCTGCTGACTGTGGCACCTCCTCGGCCCTCTTCAACACTTCTCTGGTCCAGCTCCTGGAAGCCCTACCCTTTCTCCCAGCCTGGTCAGCCCTCCAGAGTCAGGAGGACCTTGCCTTCAGAGACCATCAGGGCCAAACTGCCATTTGCCCAGGGAAGGCATTCTAGCTAGCCTTTTCAGGGCATTTCAGCAAGTTAAAAGCAGAGCCATGGGCTCTGAACCCAGGAGTATCCACCTGCCGAGAAGGTGGCTCTGCTATCTAGCTCCACCAGAGCCCTCTTTTCAAGGCCCCACCATGCACACAGATGACCCCATGGCAGAGACCACCTTTGCCTGGATGTCCCCAGAGCTCATCTGAGGACCTCAGCTGACCTCCAATCTGATTTCCCTTCCCTTCCCCTCCCCATGTGCCCACACCCAAGACCCAACTACCGAGTCTGCCTGCTTCTGGTCGGTCAGAGAGTCTTGGTCTCCTCTTGGTTTTGATTCCTCAGGCTCCTCTGATTGGAACTGGAGATAAGAAAGAACATAGCTTAGTCCAGGTTATTCCCCAGTTTCTGTCTATTTCTCCACCTTCTTATCCATCCATTCATCATCTATCCATCCAACATCCATCTAGCATCCAACATCAATAGATCCATATATCCATCCAACTATCCAACATTCATCCTACATTACCTACCCACTCTATCCAACATCCATGATCTCATTTATACATCCATCCGCTATTTATTTGTCATCTGTCCATTTAGCCCACATCCATGTATCCTTCCTCAGTCCATCCAACCTCCATTTATGTATTATCCATCTTCCCATCCAACATTCATCCATCCATCCATCACCCTATCCATCATCTAAGCAATATCCATCTATCCAACATCCATCATCTGTTCTATTCATCACCCATCTACCTATCCATCCACACATCTGACATCCATCCAGTATCTATCTATTATTTCTCCAGCATATATCACTGGTCCATCATTCATCCATCACCTACCCAGTGATGCACCCATCTGCCATCAGTTTCTGGCATGCACTTAAGCATCCTTGTATTTACTGATCAACCATACACTGAGCTGAGCTCCATCTTTGTGTCAGGCCCTGGGCCAGGGGCCAGAGGTACAGAGATCAAGTGGGCACAGTTCCTGCCCTCATGGAGCTCATGTTTCTCATGGGGAACTGACACCTGAGTGTGACCAGATGGAAGGTAGCAGAGCCACCAAGCCCAGAAGGGAGACATCACCAACCTGGAGAGGGCTGGGGTGGGGTGAGTATTCAGGAAAGGCGTCTCAGAACAGGGCACCTGATCTAAGACTTGAACAATGAACAGGCATTTGGTGAGTGAAGAGGGAAAGGAAGAATATTCTGGGCAATGGGAACAGCATGCTCAGAGGCAGGGAGATGTGCTCGCAGAGCTCTGCAGCCAGATCAGCATAACTAGAGGACAAATCTGGGGTGGAAGGAAGGCCGGGGGGCCTTGAATGCCGTGCCAACAATTTTCATAGAGGGTGAGCAGCTGAAGCCCCAGCATGAACCAGTGGAGTGGATGCATCTGTTGTCATCTGTTGAAATGTCCTTAAGCATGTGGTGCTCCCGTCCTTCCGAAGTTGCCATCTCCTAACCTCCAAGGGACCCCTGAGCCTCGCTGTGGAATAACTCTAGCTGAAGAATCTCTCGGGGGCCACCCGAGTGCCTCAGTTGGTTAAGAGTGCGAGCTCTGAGTAACAGTGTTGCCGGTTCGATTCCCACATGGGCCAGTGAGCTGTGCCCAAGCTGAGCTGCCACTGAGCTGCACCCACCGTAACTAAGATTGAACACGGCTCCTTGAGCTGAGCGGCCGCGAGCTGCTGACGGGCGGCCGAATGGCGACTGGACTTGGAGCTGAGCTCGCTGCGCCCTCCACAACTAAAACTGAAGGACAACAACTTGGTTGTTCCCCTTCCCCAATTCCCCAATAAATAAAAAAAAATCTTAAAAGAAAAGAATCTTTCTACCCTCCTGTTTCCCTTTGACCCAGCCAGCCTGCAGCATCCCAGCATCCACTGGGACACAGCATCTCTCCCTCCTTGAGCTGCCTGTGGTCCACCTGCCTCCCCAGCAAGCCTGACAGCAACTTCTTGTGTGGAGAGCCCAAACCCTCCCCTTTGTCCTTAGGGCAGGACCAAGCTGGCTCATCCCTGCATCTCTAGTGCCTGCACTGAGTTGATTAGAGGGCAAATGGATAAAAGTCACAGGGAAACACAGGGGAGGGGGCTCCCTAGTCCTACCGTGGGCCCTGAGGCCTCACAACATGGTAGTAAAAAGCTCGGGCTTTGCTGAAAACACGCCTCAGGAAAGAGCTGGACGTTTTCTCAACCCAGAGCATCAAACATGAAAGAAGTCTCTGATGTAACATTTGCCTTTTTTTCAATGAAGTGAAATAACTTAAAAAGTATAAATGCAGGTAATTGTTCTCAGCTGACCTAAAGTCAATAAAACATTCTGTTTAAAAAAAAAAAAAAAAAAAAAAAGCTTGGGCTTTGGAGCTGACACTGTGGTCTCATTTCTCACGACTTACACAGGTGTGACCCCTGGCAAATGCCTAACGGGTTTGAGCCTCGTATATGGCAGAGCATGTAAAGCACCCAGCCCAGGGCCTGGCACACAGCAAACCCTCCCGCCATCCATGGGGGAGGCGGTGCTGGACTGCACATCAAAGAGAAGAGGGTTTGATGAACGAGCAGGAGCCTCGCCATAACCCCATTGGTGCCTGTCGGGGAAGCAGTTGGTTCTATTTTACAGGGGAAGACCAGGGTCAAGAGAGGCTGGGTGTCCAAAACCACGTGCTGCATTCCCAGGTCGCTGAGGCGGGCTGCAGGGCTCTGGCCTCCAGGACGCTCCCCACCTACCACCTTCAGATAAATGCTCCGGGCAGCCCCAGAGTACCACCGGCTCTGTGACTCTACCCCAGGCCAAGGAGGCAGGGAAAGGACCTGGCACCTACTATGTGCCAGGCATTGGGCCTACTTTGCACATGGGTCTTCATTTAAGCAGCCTGTCTCAGTAGCCAACTCAAACCAAGGGGCATTTATGCAACCTCTTCTCTGTGCCTGAAAGGAGGTGTAGGGATCAGAAACGGGTAAGTGGGGCTGTCCGGGGATGCTGAGGAACTTGGAATATAGCAGGGGAAGGGGACATGACCACACTGGCTGCAGTCTCAGCCAGAGTCAGGTAGGAGCCACCAGAGGCAATACAAACCAGGTGTTGTGGGGATGGGAGGGGAGAAGGCCCTGGCCAGAGCATCTTGCTTGAGGCCTCAGGGTGATCTGCCCTGAGCAGACCTGGGGTCCACCTCTGCCCCAGCCCTTACTAGTTGTGTAATCTTGGGCAAGTGGCATACTCTCTGTCTCAGTTTCCTTATTTGTAAATTAACAGTGCCTTTCTCATCAGGTTGCTATGGCAATTAAATGAGGAAAACAACCATAAAACATTCAGACAAGGGCTTAGCACATAAGTAAAAGCTCACAGAAACGATGGTTATTCTCACTGCTGTCTCATTTGGTGGTGGGCACAGGTTTCGGTTAGAACAGAGGGTTAGGGCTGAGCTGGGGAGGGTGTGCAGAAGCTGAGAGGAGGCCTTTCTAAGGACACGTGTCTGGGGTGCCGACTTTCTGGCTACCCCTCAGTAGTGAGACTGACTTACCTCCCACGCTGGTGAGCTGGGGCCACCTGCAAGGCTCCTGCTCCCCAGCTGGCCTGGCTCCTCCAGACCAGCCATAATTGAAGTCTCTGGTCCACTCGTCACTTTGGTCTTTGGCCACTGGGTGGAGATGCAGGCAGGGCTGTGTCCGTTGACTAGGCTGGCCTCCGCCCAGCCTTCAGGTTGGCTGTGTTGCTCTCGTTCCATGGTATCCCTTGTGCCTTGGGAACCTAGCTCAGGCCCTGAAGCTGTGACTGGGCCACCCCAGTGTCCAGCTGGGTCCTTTCGGGGCAGCTGGGCCTGCAGGAACTCTAGGAGGCCTTCCCAATCCAGCCTTGGAAGAAGGGAAGGGAGTGTTGGCTCCTCTGTGCGGGCCCAGGCCCCCGCTCTGGGGATCCCGAGAAGGCTCACCAGGTCCCTCCAGTCAAGCTCAGGCCGCCTCTCAGGGCCATGCAGGTGTGGGCATGCTCCTTCAGTCCCCCGGCCCGTGACAGTGGGTGTCTCAGGCCTCCAGGATTTCGAGAACTCTGCTGGGCCTTCCCTGGAGCTCCAGCCCCTCTGAGTTGGTCTGTCAAGGGGCTCCTGCAACCCATTAATGGGGGGCTCCTCCCAGGCCTCTGGCTGCCCCCAGCTCTCCTCAGACTCCCTGGGAGGGCCCCTCCATGTTCCCTCTGGGGCTCTGGCAGCCCCCCGACTAGGCTCCCCAAGTCCTTGCCAGCTCCCCATGCTGGGGCCCTCTTCCTGGCTGCTCCAGCCTCTCTCCAGGTGCCTGTGAGGGCCCCGAGATCCTGGCGGCTCCTCCTGACTCTGCCACCCCCCCGGAGGCTGTCTTGGGGCTGCCCGGCCACTCTCCGGAGGTCTCTCTGTCCGCCGCTCCCTCTCAGATGTCCTGGCTGATGTCCTTGGGGGCGGTGAGGACCCCTGGAGCCGCCGGTCCCTCTCAGGCTGCCTCTCGGGGCTCCTGGGATGAGGGGGCTCTGCTCGGCTCCTCCGGGTTGCTTCTGCCTGCTTCGCAAGGGGCGTGGTTACCTGAGGATGAGGTGGGGGGTGGATGAGGCTCCTGGACCCTGACTGGGTGGCCTCTAAACACACAGGAAACTGGGGTCTCAGCCAGGCCTCAGAGAGGCAAGCTGTGTCCTCACAGCAGCCGGGATTAAAACAGGTCAAAAATACTTAGAGTCTTTGGGTTCCCTCCCTGGGGGTATCAGCTCTTCCCTCTCACCCAGTTTCCTCAGTTCCAGAAAGAGATCTGCAAAGAGCTGCTCACTTTCCCGCTTCCCCCTCCCCCAGGATATTGATTCCAACCTGGGCTATCAGGTGCCGGATTTTCCACCACCAATACTACCTATATTCCACTGGGTCGGGCCTGCCTTCTGAGAGTTTCTTTAAACATACAATTCCCCACCCCGGAAGAGAGAGCCCTTAGAGCCAGACTGATGCGTGCGAGGCTTTCCCCAAGAACTCAAGGCGGCAGCTACCTAACGAAGGGAGGGGACAGCACGGAAGGGCTGTCTTCAGAGAACTAATCTGGGGTCCTTCTCAATTTTTCCAAGTGCTGCTGGCTCTTTGGGAGAGAGGGAAGCTGGAAGCCCATGACTGGGACTCTGACCCTTTCATAAAGGACCTCCCTTCCCAGGACCCCTGCCTGGCACCTGGGGAGGGGAAAAGCAGTGGCTCACCCCTTGGGGTACAGGGACCCAGGGCAGGCTGGCAGTGCTCACCTCCCTGCTGAGGGCAGGGCTGGACTGTCTTCGGAGAAGTTGGCTCTGACCTTGACCAGGCCGCTGCGACCGCCCCTCGTCCCGGGCCTGGAAGGCCCCCGGTGCCTCGGACTTCCTATGAGCAAATGCAGCCGCCCCTCTGAGGGCCCTTGGGACTGTCCCATTCCCAGCACCCACCTCCTCTACTCCCACCCCCAATGGGAGGAGATATGGGAGATCCAAGGACCCACCACTGAAGGGCCCTAAGTGAGGGATAAGGCTCTCAGGGCCTCAGTATCCCCTTCTAGATAATGGTGATGGTCGACACTGCTCTACCTGCCTCATGGGGATGTTGTGAAGATTCAGTGAGAAAAGGAGTGAGCAAAGGTGGGGGCTCAGCCTTGGCCTTGACTGCCTCCTGTCTCACTCAGCACTTCCTGTTTCTGACTGCCACCCAGCCAGCAGCCCGCCTCTCAACCCCAGACAAAGGTTAGACTGGTCTTTGTGGGAATTAAGATTTATTGAGCACCTACTTGTTGCCAGGCACCATGCACACATGATCATAATGGCAAACATTTATTGAGCACTTCCTGTGTTCCAGGTGCCAAGCACTTGTCCCATCTCATTTCATGTCACACAGCCCATGAAGCAGGGATGGGAGACGCAGAATGCCCCCATATTCCATTCTTTCTGTCCTCTTCCTGTCCATATGTAAGTTTTGGACTTCCCAGACCCACTTTTTCCCCCTCAGTACTAACTAACAGAATTCCTGCACTTGGCCTTGAAAACTCCAGGTCATCCTAGCTGTTGGTAACAGAGCTCTTCGCAAGATCAGAAAGAAGACATGTTCTTTCTTACTGCACAATTCCAGGAAGGCCAACATAAACTGTCCATGCAGATGTCATTTCTAAGACACCTGGACTTTGGGCATTGTTGCCAGGTCAGACAAAGATAACCTCTAAGCGGTAAAAAGTCCCTAGTTCCACTTAGTTGTCTTGCTTAATCATTGGTAGCCATGGTCATTAATGTTTAACATGACATCTGTGTTGAAACCTAGAAACACCAAACAGAATCTGGGCCCATTTGTCCCCTCCCATAGGTAAGGGGTCTAAACAAAAGACCTGACCACTCCACGGATATCTAGTCCAACAGGGTTTCAGAGTCTGGCTCCATCTAAATTGACAAATGGAGCTGTGTCTGAACCAAACTGGGAGAAGCCTGAAAAAGAGGACCCGGTGCTGAGCCTTGACTGAGCCAGCAAAGGAGGAAGTAAGAGGAACCTCTACTCAGGTCTGAGAGGACAGTGCCCAGCTTGGGAACCATGCTGAAACTCTACAAAGGTTTTGAAGAATAAACAAATTATGGGCTTGGGTTTTGTCGTTATCTTGCAGCTTTTGCCAATATCATGAGAATCAGATCCGTAAAGTAACTGGAGGGTTTTTTGTTGTTGTTGTTGTTGTTTTTTGTTTTTAGCAGTTGACTCACCAGGAATAAAGCTCCCTGTCCGGAGTAAATGTTTCTGAGTTTGAGGGCTGCCTGGTCAGTTTCAATTTTTTAATCTCATTTGAAGTGAGCGAGCTTCCTTGCTCTGTGAGATCTGAGGCCTTAGAGTGACTTCCCCCAGAACTGGGGTGTAGGAGCCCCTGTGAAGCAAAAGCCTGAAATGTGACTAGGTAGGGAGGTCAACAGTGGAGAGTGCAGGGTGCGGTCACATGTGTGTTTTGTCTCAGGTGAATGCATCCTCCATATAAACACTAGTTGGCTAAATTCCTCCTGAGAAGTGTCCCCCCCATGTGGAACTGAGAGATAGGAGTGAAGGACTCAGGAAGATTCTTAGCTGCCAACAGAGACCCAGCCTTTCTAATGCTGAAGCAATGGGGTCCTCGGGCCACCTGCTTTTGGTGTGGCTGCACCAAGGGTGACAAAGAAAACGCTCAAATGGGCGCTTCTACCTCCAGAGAGTATTAAATGACAAAGCTGTCAAATCTAGCAAATTCCATGAAGGCTCTGTCTGAAATTCAAGAGACTACGAAGTGCTTATATGATTCTAAGAGATTCCAAAGGCATCTCGGTGGAAAAAAATGAAGATGTCAAGCCAAAATTCCTAATGCTTTAATGTGATAGCCCTTTAAGGAAATATTTCCAGCTTCAGTTAGAACAATGCTTGGACAGAGTAGATGCTCAATAAACATATGTTGAATGAATAAAAGGGAAAAAAATGAAAGTACAGCTCTATAGCCACTCATAAATTTCAGTCCCTTCCAGATGCTTAAATAGGTTTTAAATTTTTCATATTCAGAGGATAAATAGTTTTCCAATGGGAATAAGTGCCATACAATAGGAGAAAATTTAATTACTCAGTAGAGTTATAAAACCTCGGTTAAAAGGTAAATAATCTATTTCACCCAAATATGTACATTAAATATATGCAATTTTATATATCAATTATACTTAAATAAAGCTAAAAAAGATAAATAATCTACTTCAAAGAGAGTAAAATAAAATGAATAACAGTATCTGTGTAAAAGCAATTAACTGATTAATAAAAGTATAAACATATTCTGGACTTCTATTATAAAACTTTCTCTCTCTAAAAGTTATCCCAGTAAGAAAAAAAAAATGAATGAAAATTTAACTTTGGTTTAAAGACTTTAGTGTCCCCACTGAGTTATCGAATGAAGTCAAACTATGCAAATTAACATCGGACAGAAAATAGTGATCATAAATAGTCAAAGAGAAAGGGGGTCTTTAGGGTAGTGAAACTATTCTGTATATCACGATGGTGAATACATGTTGTTATACATTTGCCCAAATCCATAGAACGTACAACACCAAGAGTGAGCGCTAACGTAAACTATGGACTCTAGATGATAATGAAGTGTCTATGCAGGTTCATGGTTTGTGACAAATGGACCACTCTGGTGGAGGATGCTGATAGTGAGGGGAGGCTGTGCCTTGGGGCTACAGGGGTGTCTGGGAAACCTCTGTACTTTCTATTCAACTTTGCTGTGAACCTAAAACTGCTCTAAAAATTAAGTGTGTGTTTTTTTTCTTTTTGAAAGAGGCCAAAGAAAGAATTAATGTTGGAGACCATAAAGGTTGTCACCTGGATAGTAAATGGATTGAGATTACTCGAAAAGGAAATTTGAAGAATAAGAGAGAAGGCATCTCACGCAGATTCAAATCTAAGAGAAAATGTTGCCTAAGGGACAAGAAAGAGAGGAATTCTGGGTGTAAAATATTACCCGTTCTTCAGGGTGATGGAAATGTTCTAAAATTAGGTTGTGATGATTGTAAAACTCGGTCTTGGTAAATACACTATAATTCATTGTACACTGAAAGTTCTCAGACTTCCAGACCTACTTTTTTGTGTTCTCTTGACCCTAACTAACGGAATTCCAGCCCTGATCCTGAAAACTCCAAGGCTGGAACTGCTGCAGAAAGAAATCTCAGCCCAATTGGGAGAATGTTCCTCTCCCCACGGCTGCGGAAAAGCAGGTCTCTGCTGGGTGGTAAACCGCCAGTGTGAGTGGCGCCCCCACCAAGGAGACTCGCAAGCTACGTGGACTTCAGGCAGCATCGCCATATCCCAGAAAAGTAACACTCAACCTCTAAAAAGTCTGTGATTCTGAGTTCTGTTATTTAAAATAATGGCTCTGGCCACATGTTTTAAATGGACATCTCTGTTTGCTGAGAGGCATGGGTACCCGTGAGTCTTTTTTTGTTAAGGCAGACAAAATCACGGGCAGTTTCTTGTCCCTCAGGTAAGGAGGGCGGAAAAAAAATGAACCTGTGACTCTGGATCAAATAAAGGGTTTGAGAGTTTAACCTCATTTCAATTAATGTACTAATGTTCTAATTTTACAGATGGGAAAACTGAGGCTCAGGTAGGTTAAATCACTTTACAAGGTCACATATTTTGGGGAGTAGGTTTGACCCAGGAATTGACTCCAGCCTGCCTGACCCTGGTCTTTGCTCTTAACCACTAGACTATGCACAATGTCATTTAATCATCAAAAAAGACTCTTAACATGGAAAAACAGACTGATGAAGTGACTTGCCCAAGGTCACACAGCCAGTAAGTGGCAGGGCGGGGGTCTGAACCCTTCATCTGGCAACCTAAGCCTGTGAACCTTCCACCTGTCCTGCTGTCGAGCCTCCTCCCTAGCCCACCTGGCTGACCCCGCCCTGGGCTCACCTGCGCTCTTGCCCGAAGAGGCGCTCCACCTCTGCACGGCCAGGGCTGCGGGTGCGGCCCCCGTTGCTGCCCTGGGGACCTGGCTCCCTCTGCGCCAGCCTCCTGGGCGGGGGCAGGTCGGCCAGCACGGTGTATTCCTCCCTCTCCAAGTTGTGCCTGGTCTCCCCGGGGGGTGCTGAGCCCCGAGAGCCCCCTGAGCTGCCTGGCGGAGGTGAGGATGCCAGGAGCGCTAGGTCACTGGGTGGGTGGCGGGGTGGGGAGGAGGCTCGCGGTGCATCCCGGTGCCCGATGCACACTTGGGGGGGCAGCATTGGGGAGCCATGCAGAGAGTCGGTGGAGGGGGCCAGGCTCTCCATACTAGTCCCAGGGGGGTCCTGAAAGAAGAGGGACGGCTCGGGGGCCTGGCGTGGTGGGGATGAGAATGAGGGTGCATCTCGGTGCCCAATGCACACAGGGGTGGGGATGTGAGGGGGCTCATGCAGAGAGTCTGTGGAGGGGACAAGGCTCTCGGTGCTGGCCCTGGGGAGGTCCTGGAACAAGAGGGCGGGCTCCGGGGCCTGGCGTGGTGGGGAGGAGGCTCGGGGTGCATCACGGTACCCGATACACACAGGTGGGGGGAACTGAGGAGGGTCATGCTGGGGGGACTGGTTCTCAGCATCTGATGTGTCTGGGAGGAAGGGAAAGGGGTCAAACTGGGTGTGGCGAGGGGGTGAGGAGGCCCGGGGGGCATCCCGGTGTCCAATGCACACAGCTGGGGGGATATAGGGGGGGTCATGGTGGGGTGAATCACTCTCAGAGGCACGGGGGTCTGGGAAGAAGGGGAAGGGGTCATGTTGCAAATAGCGAGGAGGCGAAGAGGCTCGGGGGGCATCCCGGTGCCCAATGCACACAGCACATGGAGGCTGGAAGGACTCAAAAGAGGTCTGGGGTGTCCCACGGGTAGGGTACAGAGGCGAGGAAGTCCGGGAGGCACTATGGTGGCCTGAGTTGTGGGCGGAGGAAGTGGCTCGGGATGGTGAGTTGTGCTGGGTAGGGCCAGAGGAGGACTGAGGCTGAGCTGGTCTAGTGGGAGATGACGCCTGAGGCCTGTCAGTCTGAGTTGGCCGGAGGGCAATGGATGCCCAGGGAACCTCACTTTGCTTGGAGCGAGACGGGGAAGAGGTTCGGCCATCACTCTGGGTCGGCCGGAGGGGAAAGGAGGCCCAGGGAATGTCTTTGTTAGTACGATGGGGAGAAGAATTCCTGGGATTGTTCCGTTGAGTGGAGCGATGGGAAGCTGACGGTCCAGGATTGTTGTGTTGGGTGCAGCACTGAGAGGAGGAGGTTCCGGGGTTGTCCCGCCGAAAGGAAGAGGACTGTGGGTTGTCCCGTTGTGTAGAAGAGGTTCTGGGGGTGTTCTGCTGAGTACAAGAAGTTCT